GGAAAAGGAGCATTCCTGCACGTTATTTTTTCCGTTGCATATTGATGGGACTTGAAACGGAGTGACTGTCTGATTATTTTGACCTACTTAAAAAGTCTATTCGTATCTAAAAAATATCATTTATAATAAATATCTCCAGCAGCTGTTGATAAAAGATGCAAAATATGTAAAGCCAAAGAGATTAGATCTAGGCTTTAATCTTTTGATGGTCATCAAAGAGCACAACTAGCATTCCAGTTATACACCACAGTGGAGCGAATGAACACAGATCACCCCGCAGTGGTGCAAACGAACACAAATCGCATTACAAATTTACAACTGACAAGTATCGCGTGTATTTAGAAGTAAAGAATTGCTTGATGTCGCAGCCGAGAAAAGATGCAAAATATGTAAAGCCAAAGAAAGGTCGCAGATTTAAACTATTGATGGTCATCAAAGAACTCAACTTGCATTCCAGTTATACACCGCAGTGGTGCAAACGAACACAGATCGCATTACAAATTTGCGATTGAAAATATCGGGTATATTTAGAAATAAAAAACTGCTTAATCTCGCAGCCGCTAAAAAGTTAGTGTAAAATGATAAACAGAAAATTTGTAAGTCAGAAAGTTCCAACATAACGATTAGAAAATGTTAACTAATTAATTGATCTTTACTACAAACAGTCTCAGTAAGAAATCTACATGAACATTGCAGAAAGCAAATTCATGTAATCAAAACAAAAAACTTATTGAGGAGATTTATATAAACCATGTAATTAAAATATTACCATTAGCAATATTATAATTTCTCTCTAGAGAAAACGATCACGTACATTGTTGTTGTCTTGTCCATATTACACGGAACAATGGTTGCCAGAGCTCCTCTGAACAGAGGTTGGACTTCCAGTTTCTGTCCCCAATTTTGAGGAAGAGCACCCCGGGGTTCTTCCACACCTCTCCTCACCCACCAATTCACACGAGAGGACTTCCGGCTCGCCGCATATTTAGAGTGCGTCACCGACGCTGTACATTTACAAACATTCATGTCTTACCCGGGATTCGAACCCGTGCCCTTCGGGACCGACAATCACGTTTGGGCGACAAATCACGTACATTTTAATATAAAAAAGGCATTATTATAAAAAAACTAGTCTGTTGAACTAGTCTCTGTGACAAAATGACAGTACACTCTGTAACACGTATTAAAAGGAAAATAACTCCAAGATATAATAAAAAATGTGTGTTTTGACCACTATATTAATAACTATTATAATAAAAATAATGTAATAATGATTGTATATTTAAAAAAATGTACATGAAATATGAAAATGTATGACAAACGCCAATGTAGCTTGTATAGAGTTCTGAGCTCATTTCTGATTAAGTCTCAACAGCCCTCATGAGTTTTGTAGTTCAAGAACCACACAGGGACTACCTTCCACAAAAACTGTTACTTTTTGGAGCAGAAAACATAGCAAGTCAACAGTTCTCCAGCTGTTATTTGAACCGCAGATCTTCAAGTTACTAGCTTAACGTGCTAACTATTTACACCATGTGAGCATGTAATGCGATAATTTCTTATATTATCCAAACCCTTACGGAGATTGTAGAAAGGTACGAGGCCTAATCAACCTAAGTAGTGATGAGTTGTCACCCACTACAGTTTGTTCGGTAGCCACTGAAGAGACAGGTTTTTCAGAGCAAGAAACAGAAGCATCAACTCGGGCCTCGGCGGAATTCGGACCACGGTTCTTCCAATTAATAGCTAAATGTGGTAACTACTTACACCATGATAGCACGTAAAGCAATAATTTATTATATACTCTAAACCTTACAGAGACTATAGTGAAGTACGAAACCTAATCAACCTAATCTAAGTAGCGATAAGTTGTCATCCAGCACAGTTTAGTTCGAGAGACATTAAAAATACCCTTAGATTTTTCAGAGCAGGAAACAGGAGCACCAAATGATTCCTCGCCGGGATTCGGAGCACAGATCTTCCAATTGTTAAATTAATATGTTGACTACTCCTACCACGAGAGTACGCAAGGCGAAAATCATTAATTCCTTATACAATTCAGGTGTCCTTTTTCCCTTCCTTGTCTTGAATATTGTTTGTCTAACACAAGAACAGTTCTCGATATAACATTTAGTTGCCTTAGGAATGACCGTTAACCCATTTTTCTTAGGGGTCTCTCTAAAAAAATATATATATACGTTTGCTATCTTAATGCTCTTGATGACAAACTGGTCTACGCTTTTGGATTTTTCCTTTAAAATACTAATTAGAACATTACTTTTTTTTTATGACTAGCATCGGTTAAAAGAAATTAACAACAATAAAAATTTTATCTGACTCACTCCTACTCGAAATGGCCCACCACGACCGAGCGGTAAAGTCGCTGAACACTGGTAGATCGGTTCGAGGTTCGAATCCCGCGAACGGGCTGGCTGCATGGGTGTTTTCGTGGCTTTCCCCATGTGTAAAGTGTATACGAGCCAGTTTCCCTTATAAAGTCCTCCACGAAGGCATCCCTCCACTTAGGCAGATAGCCCTAGTGTGCTTTGCCATAATTAAATACACCACACCACCACCTACTCGAAATGTGTACAGCCTGTTATTCTAGTAACACTTCTGGCTTAGACATATTGGCTAACGTGATTTTTGTGATAGATAACCAGTACTGTGGGGCAGCTACTTTCAAATATCAGATGCATCTATCTGTGCTTTGCAAAATTCGTTTTGCTATATCTAATGCTGTCATGTTCTCTTCAAAATAACAAATCGTATTTATTTTTCCGAACCGTTTTCTCTAACTTTAGTCTAGGGTTGTCTTCTTAAAAGTATGACTTACTACAAGATGAATTCACCGTACTTTGGTCTATGATTAAACCTCTGCTAAACAGATCTATTAAAAAAAAGCAGAGTTCATAATGATGTGATTGAAATCTGCTTTTAGGGACCTCATTTTTTATCCCTTAATTAATATCCCGATATTTTGTGACTTGTGTCTGACAAATTTCCAGAACATTAACTAAGAGATTATTTTCCGCTTTTATTACAATCACCGATCACATAATTAAGACGAAACCACACTATTTTGTGCAATTTATTGGCTTAAATTCTCCCCAAAAAATCCGTTTATACTGCCACAAAACTTCCATTGTGGCGCACTTTCTCTTAATATGACTTCTGTTTTTACTTCCTTGTACGAAGTAAAAAGGAAGTATTGTAATCGCGAAAAGTTTCAGGCAACATATTTCAACGAAAATATCCATTTTGACCGCTATCGAATGCAATTTAGCGATGTTTTTGATTGATATCTGTGCGTAAGGAGAGAATAAAAGAAACCTTTCCTCCAAAAAAATTATAAAAACTGCTTTAAAATTAATTCTGAAGAGAATTTTTCGTGGCTTCTGTACGAACGTATGTACGTACGTATCTCGCATCTCAAAAACGAGTAGCCTCAGAACGTTGAAATTTTGTATATAGCACTGCTATAACATGTAGATGTGCACCTCGTATTTTGGTTGCAATCGGCCGCACCAAACGTATTTAAATATATTTATATATATATATCCACTCTGTTACCCAGCTCAGTGATCTCAGTATCTTTACTCTTATATGTTTGTAAATTGTACATTTTTTGCTTTAAAAATGATTGAGTTATGTTGTTCTTATCTTCCGGTTAAGGTTTTTATGCCTTTCGTAATTCTCGAAGCAATATTTGTACAATTATCAACAATTTAAAAGCTGTTTAAGTGCGGTTAAGTTTTAAATAACATGGCGGACATATTTGTTTACACTTGAAACAGCAGAATTGTAGATTTGTTGCCAATCTAGAGAGACTAAGCTTCGCAACACAAAAATAACGCTTTCATTTATTATTGCGAATTAAATTATGCTTAATCCTTTCTGGAATTTTTTCGAGGAAATAAGTATTTAAGATTTACTTCGTAATTTTTAATGCAGATATTTTGAATTTTTACATATTTTTGCCTTGTCGCGAAGTGAGAGCTGAATTAATTGAATGAGAAATACTAAATCGTCTGTGAAAAACTGTTTCTTTTTTGTTTTGTTTGCTTAATTTCTTTCATACATCGTTTTAGCTTTATTATAGTATTTGAATAGAACGTGTGGCAACGATAATTCTTCAAATCTTCAAATGATATAAATTTTGTGCATTCAGAGTGTCCTTATAGTAAACAAATATAGTGAATTTTAGAGTGCATTTATTCTATTGTGGTTTATGCGCTGTCGACGAAGTAGATTTAATTCAATCCAATCAATTTAAATGAAATTCAAGAAAAAATGCGTATAATTTAATATTCCGTACAAGGAAGTTATGTGGTGTACACATTAAAATTTTTTAATTAATGAAGGAATGAAGAATTAACTTTGTTTTCAAAATATAAGAAAATGAGTACATATCTATAAGAGCAAGTATCCAAAAGTAAGTAAGAGGAAAAAAAAAATCAATAGTTTTTTTCCTGATACGTTACATTTAAATACTGTATTTCCCAAATCACATCATATTACTTTCCAAAAATACTCATATAAGAGTCTTTTTTTTTTTTTTTTTTTTTTTTTTTTTTTTTTTTTTACATTTACACATTTCTAAAAAAGAGAGAATAAGAGATTATTTTGTGTGTAGGAAATGATTGAAAATAAATAGTACGTTTGCCCAAAGTAAAAGGTGAAGTTTTCAAAAACTGTGCTAAAACTACATGAAAAAAATGTCTCCATTTCTAAATATTTCTACAGCGTTAATTTCAAATATGCATAACTAAATATGATGATGAATTTTTTTTACATACGAGCTAAAGAGCACTGCAAATGATAACTTTCCATTAGCTTCCACATAGGCTCAACAGCGGCCAAGCAGTAAAATCATTGAACACTGGTAGTTCGTCGTACTTTCTTATCTTGTACTTTTCGGAATGAGATATCCGAAAAAAGTATATTGATTATTATATACAAAAGAAGGCTAATTTCTATTTTCATTTTTATTTTTAAAGAAATGACCATTTACGAAAGGCTGAAGGCCGGGTGTTTCAAAAAGAAAGAATTATTTGAAGATCCCGATTTTCCAGCAACCCAGTCTTCCGTATTTTACCATCAGACGTCTCCATTCCAGTTCGTTTGGAAACGACCTACGGTAAGATATACATTTGCTATCCAAATATAATTAATTCGTTTACTCAAAATTGGCATGTTAAGAATACGTTTAAATGTTCACTATAAAAACAAAATGTTTTCAGTTTGTTAATTAAATTGCAGTCTTCAGTTTCACTTTTAATTAAAAATCAACTGAAATGAAACTTTCGAATGCATTTTAATTAAACAACACTTTTCTTTTCATAGCTTACAGGGCAGAACATTAAACATTCTCTTTTTCAGAAATTTTTAAAATAATTTAGTAGCAAACAGTATATTCAGATTCAGTTTACTGCATTAAATACGTCAGTTTTGTATTTCGAAGATAAAAATTTCAAAATTCTTCCAGAATGTGATATATACATTAATCGTGAAGTTTGCACAGTTAAAATAAAATGAACACTCAAAGCAGACATTTTCTTGAAAAACAAAAGCTGACGAATAAAAGCTTTCTTATAATTGTAGATATTTTATTACTTGAATATAAAAAATAAATATCGCAACAAAGGACTGACATTAGAAAATAAATTTACATCTGAGCAGGTTTTACATGTTTACTTCAGTTTTTAAAAATATTTCATACTGATCTATTAACAGTTGAATTTGTAGATTATTACAATATTTGCTCAATGTTTCATACAGCTGAAAATGCCCAGGTATGGCTGAAACAACTCCAAAAGAGTAAGCTACTAAGAAAACAAATCAAAACTCTCGCAGGCTACCTGGCAATGAAAGTATGAAAATCTAAAAGCAATCTAAAATATGGAAAAAGAAAGCTCTTAACACAGATCTAGGACTCGGTCTGCTCACAATTGTAATTTTATGCTTCTTAAATTTTTTTTATGTTTTTGATGCTATAATTTTGAAATTTTAACTCTGCTTACTTCGCCCTGCAGGAATTGAACTGATTAGAACATTAATTACTTTGATTGTTTTTTGGAGATTATTTTAAATTTTAAACTTTAATTAGTATCGTTATTGGTTCAGAAACAGGCTTTGTTTATTTTTTTCGTTGCACCAGCCCTATGATGACGATTTAGAGAAGATGTGAATTTCCTATTTCATTTTTTGTTTTGGCATGCTTTGCCCCTTTTTTATTTGCAGTTTGCCACTGTGCTTCCGGCTAAGGTTTCTGCATATGATTTATTCCGTTGAATATGAGAAGAATATTAATCGTATTATTTATTTTATTTTGTTGTAATTTAATTGTATTATTCATACCTAACCAATGTAGTTACATCTTTATTATCCGTAATGCTATTTATATTAAAAACCTTGTAATTTTCTGCAAATTAATCTTACCATCTAACTTAATGTTGATTCATTTGATATTACAGGAGTTATGTGCTGATCCCATATTTGTGGATGACGCACCAGAAAAGTTAAAGATTGTTGCTGGAAAGCTAGGTAAGTTTTTCTTTACAAAATTATTTTCTCATATTTAATACAGATAAGTATAAGAAATTTTCCTAGCAAGTCTGGCAAATTTAAAATTTATACTCATATTATAAATGAAATGTAACAGTGTACTAAAAGTCCACATTTATAATATTAAGTCAATAATACTCTGCATTTTGCCTCTTTAGCTTGTGAAGCTAGTTTAATTCATATCAACACTTATGACTGTATAATTTGTTTTAATTTCATTTGTTTCATATCTGAAGGCCATAAGACGTATTTATATCTGAAGGAAAATTCCTAAGTTGATGATATTTTAAAGCCAGTAGTTAATTTATTCGTATGAAAAAAGAAGTATGATATAGTATCCTCTATTTCAAGAAATATTTGCTCCGCAGCATAAATGTAGAAAGATATTTTACGTAAAATATCAACTGCTAGAACAAAGGAATTCAATAATTTAATTATGTGCATAGCGTTCGTTTTTAAAGGAAATAACAATCCGAAATCTAAAGTTTTAAAACTTCACCCTTAGCAATTTATAACTTAAAGAAACTAAATTAGCAGTAAGTGTATTAACAGTATGTGGCAGTTTGGTGTTGGAAACATTTATTTAGATTTAATTCTGTTTAGAAATGAACATGATCAAATAATATCAATACATAGGATGGATGCTTTTCGTGTTTAATATTTCTACGTAAAAGTTTCACATATTGCAGCACTAAAATTAGCAAGAAAGAAAATTAAAAAATAATTCAGTTTTTAGAATAAAATTGTGTGTTTTCCATACATAAATACAAAATATTACTAAAGTAAATGGACTATATAAAATGGAGTTATTTTTATGGCGATGGCTTCATAAAATTTGACAACGTCGTCTGACATTTCAGTGATACTTTCATCAGGTAAAATTTCTTCATACCTATAATATTTTCCCCCCTTGCCTCTTACCTAGAATGCCTTCTTGATTAGAATATGTTTCCCAAAGTTTGTTGCCCTTTTTGAGAAAGGTAATGGCTTATATTTTTGAGAAGGGAGGCTATGGAATTTTAGAACTATGCTATCACTGATTTTTAGTAACTCTTAAATATATCTTTGTCTAGCTATATTTCTCTCAAATTTGCTGATGACTTGGGGATTTAACACTGATTACAATCGACTTACACACATGCAAAGATTTAAAATTATAAAAAAAATATTCGTCCACTCTCTTTGGATTACAATTAAAGAGATAATGTACAAATAAAAAGATTGCTTTTTTTTTTCAGCAGAAACTTTCTTACGCTTAGGAGACCTACTTTGCAATTTAGAGCTGCCACAAATCAAATAATTTCGAAAAAACTTAGCTTTATTCTTAACTAATCACTACAGATGAGGATGCTTATCAGTTCCGAATAGCAACTAGCCTTAGTGGGACCTCCGACCAGTACAAAACTCCTCCAAATATAGATCAGCAAGTAAGAACAGCAAGACGGTTCTGCTCCCAATGAGGTATAAATTGCTGTTAACCTGTCCACTTTTAAACTCTCTTTTAACTATTTTTAATTTTTAACTATTTTCTATTCTAGGCACTCATCGAATTTGAATTGCTTCCATAAACTTTGTTTTTGATCAATAAGTATAGAAAGTTTTCATACACTTCGAAGAGATTTGCCGAACGAAAACCAGAGAGCTAAATGTGTCCAATAGAAAAAAAGTTTCAAAATGGAAAAAAAAAAAAAAAAAAAAAATCCTTAAAAAAAAAGGGCAGTTTGAAATATTGCTATATATACACCCAACACGCACAGGCCTATCTACCGTAATATTGTTCGAGATGACGTAGGAATGTAATTTTAAACACTAACCAATTATGTAAGTCGATACAAAAGTTTCTGGTCTCACACATAAAAATCATTTGGCAGTAAATTTCGATTGCAGACACATATCGGTAATACTAAAGGAATACATTTGAAAGTTCCGTTAGTGAAATCATCTTTGCCTCTTTTTTATTCCTTACTGAATGAAGTGGTGTGCTAGTTTATACTAAATGTTTAAAACTAAGCATCTTATGATGATTAAAATTTCAGCTAAAGAAGGACTTGATGTCAAGGAAATAAAGCATTGATTCATGCATATACTGATTCTTCTCCTTCCTATTCTGCAGTGAAAAAATAAGTAAAACAAATTTGTATGGGCTAACAATCCATAGAAGAGGATTCTCGTTAAGGTCAACCATATTAGGCATTGACGTCAGAAAATATTGTTCGCGTCCAGGAAGAAATGTTTAGTCACAGGAGATTGAAAGTCAGGGAGACAACAGAAAGTTTGGATGTATATAAAACAACAGTTTTGCGCTTTCTATGTGATCACTTGCACAAAGTCTTTATAAAATAAATACCTTGGCTTCTTTCAGGAATTCAGACACAACAAGGTTTCATTTGTTGCGACCAATTTTTGCAGCTTTATTATGCAAATCAGACACATGTCGATCGTCAGTGATGGTGAAACAGTTATCCTGTACAATAATTTTCTATCAAAGAGAGAATCAATGAACTACTAAAAAGTAGGTAAAGCACCATCAAGGAAAGCAGATGCGTAGCAATAAAGAAAAACATAATGGCCACCATTTTTAGAAGCGTCAAGATATCATTTCCAATATACTTTAAAGAAGGAAACGGAAGCATTAATAGGGAATATTATGCAAGCCTTTTGCAAAAACTGAAGGAAAAAAAAGGGTGTAATGCTGAACCGCAAAGCTCATCGTCTGCACGATAATGCTTCTTTGCTGAAATTGCTAAAGAAGTACTAGAAAAATGAGGTAAGGAGCTTGACCAGCCCTTTATCACCCCGAGTTAGCTGCAAGTGATTATTATATGTTCTCCAAACTAAAACCTGACCTTCGTGGAAAGAGATTTAATGATGATCGCGACGGGAAAAAAGAAGATATGGAACATTTTAAGACAAACTCTCAGATTAAGTTTTAAAAAATGCTTATTAAACGATATGAAAAATGTTTGGAAGTACAAGGAGATTATATTGAAAAATAAAGTATTAAAATTTCTTCTAGTTCTTTTAGACGTATACAAAGGAAAAACCTTTTGAAATATCTACGTATTATAAGCGCATCGAATGCACATTCACCTTTTTCCATTTAACCATCTTGAACACATCATTCGACCCAGAATGCGCATATTTTCCTACATTATTACGACGTAAACAATGTAGAAAAATGTCTATTTTTCTTGCTTTGCATGTGATTTATTTATTGATATATTGACACTGCGTAGTGTAATGCGATTAATGGACATAGTTACTTTATTTTTCAATCACTAAGCGAATACGTAACTTTGAAAGGGTAACTTCCTTGGGTTTAATTTGATTTCTCTTGTATCAAGTAATTTCAGGTTTTCTGGGTTTTTATTTATTTATTTTTTTTTTGAAATGTTAGGCTAGTGTTAACTCACCGAATAATTTTTATTACGTGTGCATAGAATTTACTCACAAGCGAACGCCAATTTTTAAAAGTATTAAAACAAGCTCATTACAGTTATTTTGTATATCATGCTGGGATCAAAAAAAAAAAAAAAAATGTGAACTCCTCATTTATGCTGAGTAACGTGTTATTCCAATCTTATGAAAGGGATTAATAGCCATAAAACTCTAGCTACTCCTTTCGCACTGCCAACAGTTAGCGTTAACTAGCGAGGTACACAAATGAGTACCAATAATTGAACTAAATATTAAAATTGATATTAAAAGAACAGAACCTACTGTTGAGTATCTTGGTGGTCCATACACCACAGGACCTGTACTATAATGATCTGAACTCGAAGTTTCCACGTAACTCTATTACTTAAATGTTCTTAAAAACAAATAAACTAGAGATATTTCATTAAGAGTTTCTCCGAGAAAAGAACAGATAGAATATTTGCCTTCCTCTCCCATATCCTTTGTTTCACTACGTAAGAACCCTCCGAATCATTCGGCTCATACTGAAAGAGAGATTACTTAAGTTATAAGTTAAAAAAAAAAAAAAAAAAAAAAAAAAAAAAAAAAAAAAAAAACAGAATATTAAGTCTGTTTTCTCAGAATCGACTTTAATACTGTCATATAAAAACTTTACTTGTTGCAACATCTTACAGTCACTAGTCTCATATCAAACCATTTTAATTTAACTTTAGTTGAACATTTTGTGACAGTTTGTTTAATAAAAATGATGTGTTTTCAACCCTCTGGCAGACGGAAAGGTTTAATTTGTTGATTAAGGAATTAACAAATTTGTATTCATCATTTGTACTTTTCCTAATATAAATGAATTATTAATTACCATTAAAAACAATCGATATATTTGAGGTACTATTTGCAAAAAGAACTGATTGGTTCTAGTACTACTAAAGATTATGTTGGGGGGTGAACTGGTACCCAACCGCTACTTCGCTAACCCTTACTTTACTCCATCGACAGGGCAGCTTGTTCACTTGGGATGATGTTTATCAGCCTATTTAAGCCCTACCAGTGATTCTACACTGCTGGCCACCCAAATTGCAATACCAAAAAAGACAAGAAATACCACAACAAAATTTATTTAGTAGATAACATGTTGACCAATTATCAAATGATTAAATTTATGGACTTCTGTGAAGTGTGGTTCCTTCCAGAATCAGTAGCCAGAGTAGCCACTGTTGTTGGAGATCACCGCCTCGGCATTGATTCAGAGAGACTTTGGATGTGTTCTTGGGGTACAGCAGACCAAGCACCTTCCACACGTTGCCAAAGTTGATCTGGTGTGGCAGCTTGGGATGTAATCTGGGTCAATCGTTCAGCAACCATGGATCACATGTTTTCTATCGGCGAAAGATCCGGAGAGCGAGCTGGTTAGGGAAGCAATTCAATCTGGCGATTGACGAAGAACCCTTGGACAAGGCGTGCCACCTGTGGTCGCGCATTATCTTGTTGAAATATGGCTGTGGGCAAGCCTTGAAGTTAAGGAAGGACAACTGGCTGCAACACCTCGGAGATGTAGCGCAGGCTGTTTAAAGTACCGGCAATGCGTACTAGAGGAGTGCGAGAGTGACATCCAATACCGCCCCATACCATAATACCCGGAGCAGGACCAGTATGGCGGTGTACAACGCAAATCCTCTCTCCACGGTGTCTCCAGACTCGAATCCTACCATCGTGGTGTCGCAGACAAAAGCGTGACACGTCAGTAAAGACAATTTCATTCCATTCTACCGTCCACATCCTTCTTTCATCGCACCGTTGGCAGCGAAGACGTCTTCGGCTATGCGTCAAGGGTAGACGAAGCAATGGAAGTCTTGCGGACAAACCACTCTGCTGTAAAAGGCCTCGAATGGTACGCGCAGACACTGGATGATGCATTACAGACTGAATGTGCTGTGCTATGGTTCGTGATGTGACTGAGCGATTCGTCACTGCCATGAGCACAATGTTCCTGTCATCATGGTAATGGTGCACTGAGGTAGATGCGATTGAACACGTCGGTCCGTCGTACCCTCCTGCAACCAACGGTCACATATCCGCATTACAGTTGTTTGGTTTCGTTCAAAACGACTACCGATTTCCCTGAAAGATAATCCACACTCTCGGTAGGCCACTATCCTTCCTCTGTCGAACTCGGATAAATGATCAAACGATGATCGCTGTGTACTAGGAGGCATAATTGATCGTTTTTTGAAAAAACCACAAGAAAAACACAATCGCCGAACCTGAAATCGTCGAAAACTCCGAGTCTTTGATAGCGCTTTGAAGTGGCGCCACAGGCGTGCGTGACGTGCGTCTGAGCTGAAATTCTAATCATTTGCATACCTTCGATAAAGCATGTGGTAAATTTCATGTTATTTGCATGCTTCCTTCAGGGTGTTGCATTTACTGTGGCCAGCAGTGTAATTTCGTTCACCAGTTCGGATATTGGAAACTGTCTTTACAGCAAAGGGCAGTGAAAGTACAGTGCAAGGAATGAAGTCAGCCATGTGGATAAAAGCATTCTGTTTTAAGAGTCTAACTATTAAGCTAAATGAGGCAGTGCATGTGCTATCCTTTTAGATTTAAAAATAAAGCTTTTCTTTCTGGTTTCTCTAAATACAATACTGTGATTGTAACTGTGATACTCTTACACATATTCAAAGTCGCCCAGACAGTATAGTGGTTAGGAGAGCCTACTACGGTACCGAAGTGCCCGGGTTTGATTTCCGGAGAAGGCATGGATGTTTGTAAATGTATAGAGTCGGTGCGGCATGGTGGCAGTCTAAATATACGACGAGACAAAAGTCCTCTTGTTTGGACTGGTGGAAGATGAGAGGGATGGGAGACCCCCGGGAGGCTCGCCCTTGAAACTGGGGGTGGAAAATTGAAGTCCAACCTCTCTTTGGAGTAGGCTCTGGCAACCATTGTTCCATGTGATATAAACAAGTCAGCAACAACAACAAGACGTATACAAAGAAAATACTACTGTACAATACATGATACAATTCATTAGACAAGCACTTAAAATACTGTGCACTTCTGCAATACTAAAACACTGGTGCACAACTACAGTGTACATATAGTGATATGATACAGTTATAATATTAGTATGGCACTAACTGTTATGCAGAATTTACTTTGTAGATATTAACTCAAACAGAATTTGAAAAGATGTCTAGTATTCTGATATACCACTGTCTTCAAAGCTATGCATATTATGCATTTTTCAAGTTTATGGCATTTCTTTTTTTTTTTTTTTTTTTTTTTTTTTTTTTCTTTCTTTTCTACGAAATCGTGGCGGTTGGTCCACTCATTTTGACGGTGCTGGATTACTACTAGTCTGTTTCTCGTACCTTTGTCTAAACTACCGTGTGTTTGGCGCATATAACCTTTCTGGTTATGCGCCATTAATTCTACTACTACATCTGTTTGCCGTATTTTTGAAGCCACATTGCAATAAATGAACTGCAAGAAAAGTACACTCAACGATCTCGCTTACAGTGTTTTCACTGGATATTGATCTGTTTAATAATTATTATAGACTTAAACAGATAAGAGAAAACATAAATTATTATTATTAATAATAATCACTCTTTAATATGAAACTCTACTTTTGTTTGTGTTAAGAATATTCTAAAATTAAATTTAAATCTAGTATTTTTAGTAGTATAATTTTCATTTCTCAACTCATTACCTTATTTCTACTATTTTATGGGAAGATAGGCGCCACAGAGAAGTATCAGTATTTAAATAAAACAATCAAAGTAAAAAAATTAATTGCTACAGGTTATAGGAATATGTTTAAAAGGAGTACAAAGTATGAAAAGTTGGGTAATTCATTACATCATAATTACAAAGATATATCTCAGTAAGCTATTGTATTTAGTAATGACTATTTCCATAAACATGCATATAACAAATTATGCAAATCTAAGAATTTGTAATGTGAAATTAATATCTTATGACTTTTATGTCTATAATCTAGAAACTCAGAAAATTACCTACCAAGAAAATTCCCTTCCGAACGTCAATGTGTTTATCATGATGGTAAATGAGGTAATTTTTGTTCGTATTGGGAAAATTCAATCTAGATAATAGATAGTGAAATTCCTGCGAAACCACATAATCCATTAGTGTGAAATCCAAACTGCGTTTATTTTTCAAACTTTAATTTTGTAAGCATTCGAAAACTAAACACTATAAAACATTAGTCGGGGAGCAAGAGAAAAATACCCCAAGCTGCTATGCGGGCCAGTTCATTCTGAATTCGCTTGAACAGAAGTTTTCTAAGTTGCTATATTATACAGTAGCAAATAATGAGAATGTAAATTCGGATTTCTACGGTCTAACCGTTTCGTCCGCAGAGTAATGAAAATGGTAATGAATGGTAATGAAATAAAATAACGTGTTGATTGATAGTAGAAGTTACCAAACTGTTACCATGTATCTAATCAAAACATTTTTACTGTTCCGTTTCTAAACTTTCATTGTCTTATTAGGTGATCCATGGTTTGTGTCATGCGTCGGTTGCTTAGCCAGCACGAGGGGACTATTCTACAGAGTGGTGCCGGCAGATCAGAACTTCGCGTCTTCAGACTATGCAGGAATCTTTCGTTTTCGAGTCTGGTGGTGTGGAGAATGGAAAGAAGTAGTTGTTGATGACAGGTTACCTACCGTAGCTAATCGCTTGATTTTCGTCCACAGTTTTTCGGGTAAAACGTTCTGGCCAGCTTTGCTAGAGAAAGCTTATGCGAAGTAAGTATTTACCAATTCTAGTTTTCCGCAATGAGGATTGATGTTATGATACGCTTTATATTAAGCAAGCCTCTCCTAAGCTAAAAAAAAAAGGGCGTAGCGTCTTGTGCTTATCTAGTTACCTATAGCAGGAAAATAATAAGAATTTTTATACGTACTTTCGTATCTAAAGATGCAACTGTACGATCTCACCAGTTTGGTTGAACTCCGTAAAGCACGAGAAACAGGTTTAGAAAGTCATTATCCGACCCAATGCATGAAATATTTTTATTTCAGTTAAAATACGTATAAAAGTTTTAAAATCTAAATCAAAAATATTATCTTCAGTGCACTGAAAATTTTTAAACTATTACTCCACCCATACTTTATTCTTTAAATTTGCATTGATCACCTCATCACTACTTATTTCAAAATGTGGAATTTAGAAACCTTTAAAAGTTCATTCAAATACAGTATAAATTATGAATTTAAAGTTAACTAATATTTATTAACCGTCGAAATCTAATTATTAATGAAACATAAGTTACATATTAAAAATTAGTTCATAAAGATCAGCTATTCTTATAAAATACATGATAAGAACAAAGAACAATAAAATAGAAATTTTTCCACCGTACTAATATGGTTACTGACATAAGTATTTTTCTAAAATATTACCTTAGCCAATAATAAATTAATAGAAAAATTTCCCGTAACATGGGGTCTTCCTGTTACGTCCTCACAAATGAATGTGATTTCAGCCAGCAAGTGTGACGATAAGGAAAGAGAAATTAAATATAAAGGAATAATCTTCAGATTTTAATATTATCCTGTGTTTAAATAGTTCGCAGTAAATGCTTGCAGGTAGATTTATTCGAAACTGAAAAATATTATTCTCTAGTCACGTTCGAAGCAACATACATCAAAATATGCACAGACTAGGTTCGGTGCTCTTGACATGAAATATTTACTTTGATATTTATCACAGATTGACTGCTGCCTAGAATTACCTTTATAAGAGAGGAAAGAGCGGGGCACGAAGGTGAGAAATTGGGCAAATAAGGTGGTTGCGGTATGACAGAGATTCTTCCAAAATTTATTATGTCCTTTGCGGGATTTGAGTGAGTGTTCGGCCCCGCTGACTGCAACACCACAAGAGCATATGCGAATAAGTCCTTATTTTTTTCCATTTCCTCGCAACTAGATAAAGAAAACAGATGGAAAAACGATAGCTAGTCAGCCAACTAATTTAATTATAACTTAGTGCTAGAACGTTTACTTTTGACTCCACTATAGGGACGGTTATATATAAGTTTAACCATGGACGTAGGAAGTTAGATGGAGTGGCCCTAAACCGGTTTTCCCATACCCTGCTTTGAAGCACTGGCGATCCCTTCGTTGGTGACCAAAAAGATTGGGTCATTTACCATTAAGTTCAATGGGTTTTTGACACGATCAGATGTAAATATTTTGTAATTACGTCGTAAATATGCATATAAATGTATATATTTTCATTTTCTACAATACTTCAGAGTCCTAATTATATGAAAAGAATACATTTTTAAACAACATTTAAGGATTACAAAAATTAAGATCAAAGTTTATTGTAATTTTAATATTAAAATCATGCATTATTTCTTTCCTATTTATAGAGCTTCTTCCTAAAATACTTTCTCAAATATGACATGATTTTTTAGCTTCTGAGGCATCTTTTAAAACGAAAAATATAAGCCAATTTATAATTAATACTATATTCGGTTCATTTCAAATTAGAGCATCTTTCTTTTTAATAGCGAAATACTTTAAACAGTACTTAACTTTCTCTGAATATTTCTTGAAGGGAATAAAATAAAGATTATTTTTTAAATACTTTTTTTAAACTTTTAACTGAGCTATTATAAAATGTAAGGGGAATAATTCTTTTAATTATATAAATTTATATAGGTAAAAAAATCTGATGAGATTAAGATTGTTGAGATTAAGGGTAATCTGATGATTACCCTTAATCTCAACAATTCATATTCCAAAACTCTCCTTTATTACTTTCTTAAGTACGTATTTCGTAGAAATTGCTTTACAATACCTTTTAACAGATTGCTTTCCAGTATGAACAATTCTTACTTAAATAGTTTTATAACGTATTTGTGAACAGGATGTCAATTTATGTTTACATTCAATGTTAAGGTTATTATATATTTAGATAATATTTATAATCATCATAAATTTAGATATATTTAATAATTAGATTTCTTCACAATAACTTTCACAGTTGTTTATGAATGAATAAATCCTTCATTTCAAATACATTTATAAATAATTTAAATATTTACGTATTTTATTAAAGGCAGATACATACTTTTTGCAAGGACATGCATAAATACCCATACATATTTCATATTTTTCATTTCCGGCATGGGGAAATCTTTAATTTCTGTGCATTCACTATATTTTTCCAGTAAAGTAATTTACACTAATTTAAAAAAGTACATGTTACAATAATATGTGGATGTGAAAAAAATTTATTATATATTAAAAACATTTTGGCGTTTGGAACATGAAATAAAAGTAGCGAATAATCTATCAAGGCTATCGAAAGATGTATTCGTGTTTCTTGCGTCTTACTTCAAAAATCCTAATCTAAGTAGCGACCCGAACTAAAAAATGGTGGACGATGATTCTTCACCCCCAGGATTTGGCGATTGGTGTCCTATTCCCCAGTCGCCCTTTAAAAAGGGAGAGTATATAAGGTATTTTCTTCTTTTCATGACATCATGGCGTAAAAGTAGCACACTCAGCGCGTATTCGAGAAGTCCAGGTGCGAATTCCGGCGAGGGCATTGCTCATTTTTCGTGTTCCCTACTTCAAAATCCTAATGACAGTCTTTAATTTCTTACATCATTAGATGCTAAAGCTAGTAGCATCAGATAAGTATAATTACAGTTGAACTTCGGTTAACGAGCATAACCGAATCTTACTGGTAAGGCGATTAGCATTAATTTCACAATTCTGGCAGTCTCTTTTGATGGTACTTCCTCTAAGCCTTTACACTACAATAGCAGTTGCATCGTCAAGCATAATTTGATTATTATTACCATCTTTTAGCTCTCTTCTTTGGTAAACTTGTCTGCGATTTCGTTTCCAAGAATGCCTACGTGAGCAAGCAAACATTGAAATGCAGATCTTATCAAGATCGCCTATTTCCTTTAGTTGGTGCTAAATACCTTAGGCAAGTGTTTATTAACTTTTATTTATTGTCTTTTACGTAGCTCTGGAGTCAAAGACGACGACCAAACTATTTGCTTTTTCCGCATTCTCAAGCAGATAACGTCTATTACCTTATTGCTGTTAGTTCGCTGGTGAAACTTGAGGCAAAGGTGCCTGGGCTAATTTTGTACTTCCCGGTTATACCACTCGGTAACGCTATATGTATGCCAGCTCCGCCGCTCTGGATAATTTCGTCAGCTGAGCAGTCAATATATGCTTGGACGAGGGTAATTTGGGATATTGTTTTGATAGTCTATCTTCCTTTTGAAAATACAGTTGTTAAGTCTTTTTTTTTTTTTTTTTTTTTGAACTTAGTTCAATGAGGTTAGTACAAATTGTAGCGTTCTTGGGAATAGTGTTGTGAAGAGTAAAGGTTCTTTAAGCCTTGCAATGAAGCAATGATGAAGACCGATTATTTGTCTTATATCAGAATCGAGTTGTAAAATGGATGATCTTTTAAGGCCTTTTAGAACCGATTCTGAAAGATTTTTCATGAAATATGATCGAGATCATGGCTTCTAGCTTTGTTAACGAAACTGATAGTTTGGTACTCTCTTCTATTGTTAAGATTTCAAGGCCACATTCTCAAACCAATTTTATGCTGTTTGTGGAGGATACTGCACCACTAGCGATTTTTGCTGCTCTGATCTCGACGCAGTCTAAGTAATTGAGTGCTGTGGCTAAAGCATTAGTCCAAGCAGGGTTAGTACACTCAAGGGTGCAGTCTGACTAGTGTTGTTTAGGTTGTTCAAAGAGTTTTGGGGTTTGCTCCCCAGTTAATTCCACCTAAGCTTTTCAGGATTTTTGGTTTCTTTAAAGCTTTATTTCAGCAATTCTTAATTTGTTTAGTAAAGCTCAATTCAGAATCAAGTGTTACTCCAGGGTATTCTGGATTTCCTGTCTGTGAGAAAGGTATATTATCTATCATGATGATGGGCCATATATAATTTCTGTGCTTTCGATATGTAGTAAAAACGGTGAAGAGTGATATTTGTCGACATTTTCTAAAGAATATTCTAATTCTGAGACCAAATTACAATATTCGTTAGAGATTGGCTCAGAACACAAGTAGATTTACCAATGTTGTAATAAGTATGCCAAACTGCGTATCAGAATAGACAATTTAGGCATCCTCAAACAGGTGGTGATGAAAATTATTAACATACAATACAAAATAGTAATGAGCTGAGAACAGGGACACACCTGCCCAAGTATTCCTGTTTTTCAAATAAGCTGCATTGAATTTTCCTATTTCTAAAGAAATTAGAGATCTAAATAAATGCATTATCTTTGATACCATGTTTCTGGATGGTCTGTATGAGTTTATGCCTCCATACTGTGTCGAAAGCAGATGAGATGTTAAGAAAGACAGCATTGGTTTTTTAGGAGGTTTTTCCTGGAAGCCATCAGTGATGGACTGACAAAGACAGAACAAGCTATTTTCTGTAGGCATCTTGTTAATAGCTCAGATTTTTTGTTCACTAAGAATTTTAATGATTGTAGAATGAATGACGTGTTCTGTGATTTTGCATAGTATACTTGTTAATGCATTTGGTCTATAATTCTTGCACTTATGGGCAGCTTTCCCCGGTTTCAAAATCAGGATTATTATTGATATTTTCCATACTTTTGGTAATTTCCCAGTTTTCTAGGAGGTACTAAATAAGGTGGAATAAGAAATAAATAAATAAATTGTTGTTCCCTTAATTATTGAAAATATCAATCGCAGATAATAATTATAGCATCAACAAGCAGTGGTCTGAACATCTACAAAAAAGAAACAGCTTACTGCTTAATTAGCAGGCATAGAAAGATTTTTTTAAGAGTTTGCACTCTTGTTGTTATTACCAAAGCTAAGAAATCACTTTGTTTAATGAAAAAAGCTCCTAAAAGTTTACCTGTTTCCTAATAATTACTTTTAAAGAATCAGTTCAGTATCTCAAACCGGTAATTCAGAAAAAGAGAAAAATTACTTTTATAGCTATGTTACATATTTCTCTTTTTTCTATGCTTTGCAGCAGTTTGTTTATTTGCAGCAAACAAGCATTCACATTTACAAAATTTTTATAAGATAAATTCAAGCATTCGAGGTTTGTTTCAGAAGATCTTTAGTACAAGACATAAAACACGCAGATTTTTAAATGAAATTGACAAGTCTGAATATATTTCAGACTTAATTATATAAAAATCTGTCTTGGGAGGAGATAAATGCATGTTGAGAAATGGCGACTGAAGAATTGAGTGATCTTTTAAAACTAGCTGACAACAAAACCAGTGACAATAAGGAAGGAGATAAAGCGCCTTTAAATTAGAAGAAGTTAAACTAATTGTAAAGAAAGGCAGAACTATCAGGTTTTGCAATGGAGATATATACAAATGAAAAAAGAAGATGATACTTTAGGAGAGTCACTGAAAAACTCTCGCTCCTTATCGCAAAACTTTGAAAGTTTCTTCAGGAATTGTTTCACGCAATAATCACCAGCTTTTTAAAAAATATTTGAAGCAGTTATTAAGCAACAAGAAATTCCTTTAAATTCAAATTATTTCGATTTTTTTTCCTTTTTAATTACAACGATATTTAACATGTTTAAATTACATATATTTTCTCAAACTGAATTGTACCTACCATCTTTTTGCCATGGAAAGATTACTTTGCGGACAGTGATTTTGCTATATGTGCAATGTGTTAATGGCAAAACCCCCAAGTTGGACTTAGGTCTACTATAGTACTAGCGGGAGTGTTCATATGATGACAACTACTTACTGACAATATTTCAAACCACAGCATCTTAACTAGTTGCATTCAGATAATGGGACTCTATACACATTTATTAGCGGAAGAATGATATGTTTATTATTACTATACAATCTCAAATAAAAAAACTTAATTATGCGGAATTAATGAATTAACTGAGATTAACAAATTCATTTATCAGAGATTATCTTAGTAACCGTTTTTTCAGCTCTGATGAGATCACTGAAAAGCAGTTTTCGGAGTAATAACTTTTGACAGATTAAACAAGTCAGATATGAAGAAGTTAAAATATAAACTGAGCTAGGTCCTGTGATTTTTAATAATATATGAATAAACTTATTGAATATGTGCTAATGCTGACCTTTTATCGAATATATACTGACATAAATTGAAATGAAGGATTGATTAGAGAAGGATTCATTGCTTTCGAAAAATGAAGCTTCGGCAATTCAGTAAAGAAAGAAGAAATTTTTCACCATTAAAATAGATTACAGAACAACCACTTGATACTTCATTTTTTTTCTTGAAATAAATTTCCAGTTAACTATATAAAATACGTGTTTTAAGACAGGAATCTGGCAATTCGAATAGAGGTTAATGACTTCTCATTAAAAGCACTCTTTTTACAAAAAGAATTTCCTGCAAACAAGTAATTAAAAGAAATCAGAAATAGTTTTTAAATTGCCTTGGTCCCTCTCTTACGCATCATTAACTAATTAGGCATATACACGGAAACTGTGGTCACGACTTTTTAATATTTCCCTAAACAACAACAGTGGAGAAAAAAAAACACAGTAATGAGCGTCGTTTATTAAACTATACATTTGATTAAAATCTCCGTAAAAATTGCTATTCTTTAATATATGATGACATTTAAGATAATATTTAATATTTTTATGTAAATGTGTTTTTTCATTTCAGGCTTAACCTTTAATACATAAATAATGATAGCCTTAAACGTAAACGTAATTATAATCGGTATTTATCAGAGAATATGCAAATAAGGCAAAACAACCAAATCATAAAAGAAGAAAAAAACGTTGAGGTCAAATAAATATTTTATTAAACATAAAGTTTTAAATGGGTTTTATGTTATTAACATTGTCTGAGAGACATCATTAGATAAAGCCAGAAATAATAAATAATCAATTAAATTCGAAACAAGTCAAAATTGTTGAATGCCTCTAAAAAGCCGATCTCAAAGCGTGATCCTCAAAATGTGGAACTACTTTTTAAACACAGAAGAAATTAGTCTTCTGGTTGTTTCCAAGATCTTTCAAGTGTAACTGGAGCATTTCAAAATCGTTGCAATGGTCTTTACGAGAAATCACTGTGCTGTGTTTCCAATGTAAGAGTATCTTAAGATGGTGTCATTATTATCATAATTACGGTCAAGATAGATGATATAGTAGCTGATTATCATTAGTCACCATACTCGTCAAATATCTATCTTGCTGAACATGTCTGGGTATCCTAGACTGGCAAGTTTAGCTCAAATCTGTCCTCTTAGAAAAATGGAATTTGATCATTCAGAAACTAAATTAATAGTATGGAAAGACTTTATGAAAAGAAATTTAAAATATCTTATCCGTCTTATTAGTATGGATTCTCGACCATTAGCTGAGCGTAAACCCAATCTTTATAACTTTTAAAACCTAGAGAAAAAAATTAATCTGATGTTTGAGAAAGTCCAAGATATAACCCACGGTAATCCAAGTCCATTAAAATTTTTAGCATGTAAAACGCTGAATCTGTTAATCCAATTCGAAACAAGCCATTAAAGTTCATATTTATTTAAAAGCCAATGAAAACGATTTCGTTCTAAAAGAAGTCACAAAGACAGGTCTTCAATTATTCTTTAAAATAGTTATTTATGCAAACCATATATGACGGCTTAAAAACATTTTCAAACGCGGAATATCGAAATTGTATGCCAGTATGTCTGTTATAAATAAGCTAAAATTAACAAACTTTGTTCTTGTTCTGTCTTTTCTCGATTTGATACTTTTATTACAGTTAGTTATTTGTGATATAAAGAAATATACTTTTACAAAATATTGATATCCTCCAAAATCGTATTGCTTAACTAAATGAAATTCACTCTAGGTATTTTTTGAGAAAATAAAATATGGAATTCATTTCATTTTCAGATTACATGGTTCCTATGAAGCGCTTAAATATGGATCTTCCTTGGATTGTCTTGCAGACCTTTCTGGAGGTATAACAGAGAGCATATCTGTTGGCTACGAACCAGCCAGTTGTGCCAAAATTATTATGAAGTTGCTTAAAATGACAACAGTTGTGACTGCCATCACTCAGCGGCAGCTGCAAGTAAGAAAATTGCATATGCAGCACACACCTCTTATTCATTCAAGATATTGAAATTTCAATAAGGACATGATAATGAAAGTTAATTCAAATGATTTTAGAAACTAAATATAAATAGGTTATCTCTTACAAACATTAAAATTCTTATTTTTGTGTTTTTTAGCCTAGAAATGCTATGGAGAAATTACCAAATGGAATTCTTGCAGGGATTAACTACAGAGTGATCAGTGTTCAGAAGGCAAGTTTACAAGAAATATTCTTGTGTACCTTTTCAAAATTTATCTTCTAAATCTATGTAAGGAGGAAGAACTAAATGCTTAACATTTCTGATTATTTTGTACATTTTTATTGCAAGTTAAAATTTGAAATTTATGATTATTTCAACCTGAAGAAAGGCGAACCACCTGTTGGGAAATGCGTTTCTACACTTAGTTGTATGCATGCACAGAACAGGTTTCTAGCAAAGGTTATATGTATGCATAAAACAGGTACAGGCTAAAGTAAGGCCGGCATTTCTGCATCTATTAAAGCCTTCGAGGTATCGCCTGGCAACGCTAACTGCTGAGCCTCCGCTCCATGCCGAACCTATTCCGAAAGAAAACACTCCTGCAGGGCGGTTCGAGGGTCCTCCACTCATCTTCCCTTGCCAGCACTTTCTTGATAGGATTTCGGCTCGCCATGTATTTTGAGTGTCACCTTTGCCGCACAGATACTACACACTTACAAACCCAAGCCTTCTTCGAGATTCGAACCCAAGCCTTTCACTATGGCACTCAACTTCACTATCATCCAATCTGGACAAACTGTCTTTATAGTAAAGTGAAGTAAACTAAAGTATTACCAAGTGCATACTGAAACTGATGTTAGTCTCAACAAAGAAAAAAAATGCCAGAAGCCTTGTTAGTCATTAGGCCACAACAGATATTGATTTGTAACCCTGTTAGTATGGTAGTACAACAACTGGCTGCCATAGCCTTGGACTGACGTTGAATCCTGCAGAAAGCACTGTAAGTTCATATAGTCTTGACGGCATGGCATACTTAAAGCAGTGTCGAGCTGAAATTCCTCTCGAGAAGTGGTGATAAGTAAAGAGAGAGTAGAGACCTTCGGATCCGTCTTACGGCTTTTCTCCATCAAAAATGGGACGAAGCTGAAAATATTCGTATTGTCACCTTTCAGATACTCAAGGCATTGGGCAAACGTTTCCGCCTTCGCCATAAGGATTTTTGACCTGATCTAGACTATGTTCAGTTCAGAAATATTAGTTACAACAACATAAACTGATCTTAGGAGAATATCGAAATGTGTACACGTATCAGACGCGACTTTTCCAAACACCCGATTCAGCAGCTGCAGTGATGCATACAAATGTTTATTGAGAATGAGCCCTCATTCCAAAAAGGATTTATAGGGATATAGCCAGAGCTTGCATTTAGTCGAAGCCCCGAAAAATTTGATTTGTAGTATTTTAATTTGTTATCTAACTATTTGTCATTTATTTATTGATTTTTCCTTTATCTATTAAAAATTTGTCAATTTTAATCATTTATTATTTAGTTACTCAGTTTTGCTCATCTTTCCTGATGGCATTTCATAAGGCTTTGGCGTTTTTCATTCTAGTATTCAAAACCTCGATATAGCCTCCTTTTTTATGCATGAAGTCATACGCAGCTGATTTAGGAATACAAGGCTGTCGGAATTTTCCCCCATTTCTATTGATAATGTCTTATTCACAATAAAATGCTACCCGTGTACACAACATGCTTTTGCACAAGTATAATTAACTTTTTCAGTAACTGATGAACTTTAAATCTATTTGGCACCATACGTACTTCATATAGATCTCATATAATACTACCGTTCATATTTGGAGCATATATGGGCTTGTTTACAACTATGCTTTTGAGCTTTTTGGCATATGCCTTTTGGAAAGCCAGCTAAAGGAAACGACAAAACTATCAAGTTTTTAAAAATGCAGGTTATAAGGTTTTTCTCCCACTTTCCTAGCGTGCCTTCGTGGTGTAGTGGTTCTGCACGCTGGGCCGGTGTTCCAGACAGAGGTCCGTGGTTCGATTCCCGGCAAAGGCGGTTGCATATTTTTCAATCTCTCTTGCTTCCAAAAAATACCTGATGTCTCTACAAGGTTACCAAAATATCAGTATTAATTTCGAACTCTGTATCTCTATACTTACTTCCCCTCATCAAAGTTATACTGCATGTTTTTAAGGTACACCAGAAAACTGAACAGTTTTTAAGTTTCATGATAACATTACATGAAAAGTTTATCCAAATTTACAATAAATTTGTATTTTTAAGTCAATGAATCAGAAAAGTTATTTTGTTTAGGGAAACATATTATCCTTCTGAAATTAATAAACTGAATCAAAAACTCTTATAATAACTAACATGCATTTTTCATATTTTTGTAAAATATGTCGTCTGTAAAGTCTGGAAAATATAATCTTAAACAAAAGTTACCTGTGGAGACATGATTGTAGTTTTACATGAAATTACATAATAACCTATATACTCAGAAGTTGAAATCAGACATTTTTTAAATATTTACATAGTAATTGAACTTTATACACTCTAGTGTTATTCGAGTCAATATTTAAGTCAGGCATCTTAATTATGAAACTCAGTTAATATAAGCCGTACAAAAAAATCGTACCAAGACCAAAAATCGGGTTAAGCTCCTAGTGTTTAGCTGGCTTTCGCTTAATTACTAGCAAGCACTAAAATATATTTGATATTTATAAAATGTTCTGATCATAGAAACTTGCTCATTCATAATAGCATAACAGCAATTAGGCTTTGATAAAATTTTAATATTATTCAATACTTTACAACTAAAGGAATCAGATGTACTGTTTAATCAGTATATCGATTTTAGAGATTGCGTTTTGATTTCAACTGCGCATTGAATTTTAAAATTGCACAGTTTAAAAATTATAGAGTGTTATATTTTAATTAAAATTCATTTGATCTGCAATTAAATTATGTGTTAAAAATCAGATTAGAAACGACTCAACTTATTCATTTTTCCAGCGGATAATAATTGGAAATTTTTGTTAAAAGTCGAATGTTTTCTTAAACACTTCGAAGATATGATACGGTTCTAAGTTTTGATAAAATTGTGTTCGAATAAACATATGCTATTACTTATCGACAAAGAATAAAATTTAACATTTTATATTTATTTCTGATATTATAAAAAAATTTTTCAAAATTGCAAATGGTAATTTAGTCGAATATATATTTTAATAAAATATTATAATGATAATATTTTTTATCCCTTTGTGCATCAGAAATAAAAAAATAAGCCGATTTTAAATACAATAAAAGATAGTTACGTATTATCCCGTCGACCGTGAAGCTGGAGCCAAACTGGTTGACTTAACTCCGATTATGGATAAGCGTGATGTAACGACACTCACAATATCTACGCTTTCGTTTATAACCCCGACTGATTCTCGATAAGCCACGTTTTGCTTTTGTGAACAAGGATGGAAATGAAGAAGTTTTGTTGCTGTATTTTTCTTGCATTTTGGAAAAAGGAAAATTAAAATTTGAGATCTTCCTTCTACAGAGCAGTAAGCAGTTAAGTTATGGAAAACTACCATCAGAAAAAGCGCGTATGCTAATGGACACGCTAATGGACGATATGGTCAACTGAATATGGACGACGAAACAATCATAGATTCCAACAATTTCCTGCCCAAAGTTTCACCTATAGCACTCTGAACAGAGTAGAATGAGATGGCGTAACAAAATAGTAGAAATGGCCGAAACCTTTTTACGAAACGCAAAAACGAAGAGGGTCGAATACTGATTTGGTTGTTAAATGAGAGAAGTCAGTTTTTTCAGAATTCTACAGGAACGATTGAAACAACTTCAGCAGGATCTCCGCCAGTTTTTCTGCTTCGATAGTAGCCAGCTCTAACGGTCGACAAGATAATAAGCAAGTACCAAAAATGTTGTCATTTATGTATGATAATAGGGCGCTTGGAATTTAATTTGGAATTTTTCCATTGAAAATCTCAAATTTTCAGGTTAAAGTTTTCCCTTTCTCTTAAGTTTGAATTTCTTGTGAGGCTTTATCTGAAAGGTTCTCTTGTGGACGAAAACAACAACATTCCAAATTGTAAAACTTCTTTCTTTTTCAACTTGGTTTCAATACTAGTTCTCCCTTATATTCCTTTATATTTATCTTTTATCTGGATGCCAAAACTATTAAAACTTCATGCTTGTCAAAAACTAATATTCAGAGTAAAACATTGAGAAGCTTAAAATGTGTTGTAAAAAAGGTTTATGTGTTGTCTAAAAAGTTTTATAAAAGTTCTTGTACATTTGTTTTTATATGGAAACAAAACTTTATGTAAATTATTCTTTTTTATTTGCAAGTGAAAATATTTTTAATGCCATATTTAATTTTGGAAACGTAAGAAAGTCTTGTTATTTTATGTATGACAGAGTAATATTTTTTTGCAATTTCTTGTAAACAATATGCTTTTAAGGGGAGTTGGAACCTCAAAATCTCCAAAAAATTGTGATTTCGGATTTCTGCATTTTCAAATTCTCTATACTTTTATCTTTCTAAAAATATCATTCTTTAATCTCTATGAAAATTAGAACTGTAAAAAAATCTAGTTTTAATTTGTCATCTACTGCATTGATCAATGAGGATTTTTACATAAAAACGCATTTTTCTCCAAACGTGATTTTTTTTATACTCGATGTACCTTTTCTCAGGAACTACTGCTCACAGGTATCTAAAATTTTTATGGCTTATTTATTAGGTTCCCTAATATTTACTGAAATGAGCTTTTTGAAATGAACTTAGAAAAAAAAAATTTTAATTTTTTTGTGTGAAAAAGTGCTAAATTTTACTATGCCTAACAAAGTATCCTGTAATTTATTCTAAAATTCAAAATGTTTCAAAAGCTCATTTCAGTATAATCAGATAGGTATACTTTAATTACAGAAAAAATTTCAAGTTTGTATCTACAGCAGATTTTGAGAAAAGGTACATCGAAAATGGCCAATTTAACATTGTCGGTTTCTGATACCCCTTAATCGCCTGTAAAGATATCTTCTGATATGTATGACCAAAAAGTGTTTATAAAACTTTTTTTAATTTTTAGTTGCCAACACAGGACGGTTTAGAGGTAACATTAGTTTGGTTGAAAGATCTTCTTTATGTAGACTGTCAGTATAATGGCCAGTAAGTATCAGCTATTGGAACTGCGGAATTCATTTTTCGAATTCATTAGGTTAATTGCTTTTATTGAATGTATAATTATTTTCTTTTTATATGAATTGCAGTGTTGAAGAGTTATTTCCAGCAATCAAAGATATTTCTAAACCAGCAGCTGACCAGTTTTGGTAAGCGTGATGTTTACATTATCTTGTGCTATATTTATATAAATGTTTTTAATTAATTTTAAATCATATAAAAATAATTACTCGTTTGAGTAAACTAAAATTTATAGAAAAATAATCAGTCGTTTAAGTAAACTAACATTTAAAATAAAATCTCTTCAAATATCTTTTTCTTCCTATTTGATTTTAACAAATATTTAGCATGAATAACAGGAATAAATATTACTTTGAGACATGCGAGTAAACTCATATTTAGTTTTTGATGATTTCGGCAGCACATAGTTTGAATTATTATTTTTTTGGCTCAAAATAATAAACAAGTTAAGCTTCGAACTGGATACAATACTTTTGCTAATGCTAATAATGCAAGAAAAGAAGTTTCTAAAACAGAGCATTTTAGCAAAAATTTAAGTTTTAAAATAGGAATGAAACAGGATAGGTAAAAAAAACCTTTTAACTAATTTATATTTTATTAAATGAATTATTATTATTATGCTTTGATTTGAATAGTCATACCAATCATAAATTTTGTAATTAAATGAACAATTATGAGAATTTTGAACAATTATGAGAATCATTCTTCATACAAAGAAATAAGGAAAAAATAGCTAGTTGCAAAATTCATAATGGCAGTACCATCGTTGTGTAGGGCAGTAGCATCTACATAACCTTCTACTGTTTCTTGGGCTTAAGTTTGCGCTTTTTTACAACAGAGCTGTTCGTCGAATTTGTCGATCAGTTTTCTATCAGGAACTGACATCGAGAGGAATACCTTCAATAGAAGAGAACATATTAGAAACTTCAGTTTCGTCTTTAACCGCATCTGGATTGCAACATTTCTGAAGTCTCTAATTAGCAGTTTGGAATCTATCTGCGCTAGCAAAACTAATTCTCGCGCTGTTTGCTGCCGTGATTTCAGCGAGAGAAATCTTATTATGGTAGCGAAATTCGTCCATAACCTGTTTAATTGCGTCAATAATTTAAAGCTCTAGCTTCTTCGCTTCTAATTCAGTTCGTAAATTTTTACAAATGCTGCAGATACAACTCATGGTGAATAGCAGTAAGTCAACTAAGAAAGAAAATAAAATCCAATTCTGGCCCAAGAGAGAAAGGATCTATAGTTTGTTAAAGATTACATTCAAAGGTGTCCTTTGCGGATGTACAGAAGGGACAATACAAGATATCTAACCCACACCTAAACCAAGGGTTTGAATGTAACTTGTATGTTAAACAATCCGGCCAAGTATGTGTTATAATTCCACAGCAAACGTAGTGGGTGTTAGCAGTGACTCGTGGTGAAGCAAGGCAATACTGCTAATAGAACGATAGTACATAGTTATCAGTAATAATTTATAGTCATCCAATTGCATACATAACTGTCATCTCCAAAGGTTGAAGAGGGAATCTGAACTGAATTCGATGGATCAGCTTAGTCACTTGTACATGATCATCCGGTCCTCTAGAAAATTCAGGGAAAATTGGTCCAAAGGCTTCGGTTGGTTTCACCATATTGGAAAAAAAATCGTACAGCGTCATCTATTTGGCAACAAAAGTTATCGGCAAGGTCTTTAGGAAAGATTTTGCTTATATCTTGTCTTCTAATTGAGTTAGTTTCACAATTTAAAAGTTGATCAGCTGAAAATTATAAGATAGAAATAAAACTTACGCGGCAAGAAGTTCGGTTACACAAAACAATGTATTAAACGTATTATGAATAGTAACAGATAAAATAATAATACATTTAAACGATACTTAACCATATTAAAATACGAAAATCAAATAATTACAAACATTCACTAAAAAAAAAAAAAAAAAAAAAAAAAAAAAAAAAGGTTTCAGATTTTAAATAACGTCTAAAGGCGCGTTTTTTTTAACATTTTGTGTTAATTGTCTTTATTTATTAAATATCATGTTCTTTGCACTTAAACCATAAAAATTCAGTTCAAGAGCAAAATCGCAAAATAATTTTAAATTGAGCATACTTTTAGAATTTCCGATACACAGTCTGAAGCGCTGGAAATAAAACTGTTTTTTCTGTACAACGTTGCCATTGCTCATTTTGAAATTCTTGAGTTTCTTAATCAAAAATTTGTTCAACTTTTACAAAATATTAAATCGATAATAAAACAAATTCCGAATTTCAAATTTGGGCTTCCAGATGCCCATATTCGCAGTAGGATTACATCATTCAAAATTTGATGGCTCTAGGTACAGTTGTTTTATCACAATGTGAGAACATACATACATTTATGCAGACTCTTCATTATTTAATTTCTTCATATATAATACAGGGCAATAATATTTGGTGGCAGGACATTCAGAGTGATTCGACGTAAAATCGCAAAACGGAAACAGTCCCTCGGGGACAAAGCCCCTTTGGACTAACAATACGATTTCGCAAGTAAAAAATATTTAATAAAAGCGAATTCCCTTTTTCTTCCATAATAAATGTGAAATCAAATGACAGATATTTGTCTTGTTAAATTAAAATTATGCAAAAGTAATTTGAAATAAGGTTCTTAAAGACTGAACAATTAACTTATAACGTTTGTAAGATTCTGTCCTGTGTACTTTTAACTTACAGGTGAAGAATCTTAAGAACTGATCAGCGAATAATCGCTTGAGTTCGTGAGATAGATACAACACGTAAGAAGGGTGAAATTACCCTTTATTATTCCAATAAGGTTTACCAGAACTCCGTCTTGGAGTTTTACAATAAAGTCGCCACTCGGGCTTAAACTTAGGAAACTAAGAACTAAAACTTAACTAATCTTAACTAAAACGATATAGCCGAAGCTATCAAGATTCTAACCCAGTTGGCGCCTTAAAGCTGAATAACGGCGAAGCTATCAAGAGCGTAAAATACGGCCGAGCGTAATGATGCTTATGAGAGGCGGACGCGTGCTAGCCAGAATAACTGGTTTTCTCTCACGAAGTTAGTAGAACTTCACGGTTAAATACTTTTCCTCATTTGCATTCAAACGCGATTCTAAAACTACGTTCTGGCCGGAAATTGTAAGTTGAAATTCAGGAAGACTGGAAAGGAACTTTAACTCAAAATTTAACTGTTAAAGAAGTTAGCATAATCCTTACACGTTTCTTCTCAGAGTGGTTTAACAAATAGCCAAATTAAGAGATGGTTACAATTTTGCATTAAAGAGCAAGGATCTTCTATTATAAAAGGATAAATGCATAATTCTCCTATGGCTAATCGTTGTTAGTCCCTTAACCATTCTTGTAAATTTAATTTCCCTAAAATTATCCAGAAGACTTTATCAATTAAGAAATTTAGAATTGCTTGATAGCCTTTCACTTGTACAAAACCCTACTATATTGAATTCATGCTGTTAATTTCAGCTCAGTTTCGTCAACGTTTTTAAAATTATTTGCATTTTCCTTAACATATGTGCTATCATTATTGCTTCAATTTTTATCTTTTGCAAAGTTATTCAAGTGTGATTGGGACAGTTACAAACCACTAGACAAGCCACTAGACAAGCACTAACAAGCACTAACTAGACTAGCAAACCACTAGACAAGCACTACCCTTGGACAAGCAAAAACGCAGCACTATTAGAGAACATGAGAAGCTTTCAGTTAGTGTTAGTAGAGTGAGAACCATTGCGAAAACCGACATTTCTTGTACAGTGGCAAGATGTATGCCCATGGATTCCATGCACGTTGATAGACAAAAATAAAGTGATGGGCATGCAAATTGCCAGTTCTCTTCTACAACGATTTGAAGATTTGCATTTTGGAAGTCCCTAATGATCATTAATGGAAAGTGAGTTCCCTACTTCAGTCTCGAGTTCCAGGCTTAAATCCCATTTGGGAAGGCATGTGGTTTGCAGATAACGATACCGACACCATCAATGCTCAGGATTAGATTCACAGCCAACTGAAAACATTTCTTGAAAAGGACACGAAAATGGGTCCAAAACATTGGCATAAATGTCGACTGAGAAGAGGTGTATGTTGATGGAGGGACATTTTAACTCTTTCATTCGCAATAAAGGTTTTGATTTTAAAAAAAAATCAGTCCCGATCACATTTGAACCAACTTGTACTTATTTATCGTATTTAAATGAGGCACTTTCGGTCTACGAGGCTTGCGAAGCAGAAAAGGCGGAACCTAATGCAAATATCTCTCGAAATACTTAAAGCTTTCCCATGAAACCTAAGGGCTAAATGCACGTCGACGTTTATACAGTCACAGATTAGAATTACAGTCTAAGCTCAAATTTTACGTAATCTGAATTAAAATATTTAATCTTACAGTTTTTTTTAAATTTTATCTAGTTCAGGAGAATTATTGCCATCACTGCTAATTATCTATGCTGTAATTAATAATAATTTAGAAAGAAATTTTAAAAAATACTTTACAAATTTAGATATTTACGAATTTAAATTACAAATAATTTATTCATTATTCACAAGAAATCTTAAGGCTAAATAAACTTACGCAAAATATACTTAAGGCTTAAGGCAAAACGTAAGCAAATTGTGCCTTCAAACAGATCTTCCCAATAAAAATTATGCTTAACTAAATGTTAGACGGCCAATTACCACACATTAACCTGGCTACTGCTGCAGTTCAATAGTGAGCTTCCACAGGTGCAGAAACAACTTGAATGGTGGCAAACTACAATAATAATAACTATAATTTTATAATAAAATAATTACCGTATTTACTCGCATATTTCCCCTGTTTTATAACTAATTTTATTGTACGAAAATCAAGAAGAGAAAATATGCGAAAAATTTAATTTCTGAAGGACGATATTACAGTACAGTCATAAAAACTGAAAAGTATTCATGGATAAACTAATTGTAACTACCTGTATGTGAACAGCATCTAGTTAAAAGAAACTTGTTTTTCAATAGGAATACACAGTATTGTAAACATTATCAATATCTAATAAGATATCCGCATTCCTTATTCCTCATACCTATAAGGCGTTTCTTCCGCCTTCTTGGCATGCCTTCGTGGTGTAGTGGTCAGCATGCTCGACGCAAATTCGAGATGTCTGTGGTTCGAGTCCCAGCGAGGGCATTGCTCATTTTTCATGACTCCTGCGCCAAAATAACCTAATGTCTCTACATACCTTAGATCTCAGCCGCTTTTATTGTCGCCACTGTTTCTCTCCAGGCTCCAAATCATTTAATGCTGCAAAAATTACTGTCTGTGTCGCCTGTTACAGATTTCAAGTTGTCCCATTGTCATCTTTTCGCCACTTTTTAGTCTGCCTTCTCACTTGCAGTGATCTCCAGAGCCATTAGAAGCATTAAATATCGCCGTTGCTTTGCAGATTTTCACTTTTTTTGCTTTATCAATCACAGTCCATGCATCCAAAATCCACAAGAAAATCAATTAGCAACACGAAAACAATCACTACGTAGACAAATACAATTTCAAGTGTAGGGTAAATCGCTTTCTGAACTTGAAGGAAGGGAAAATTACGTAAATATTTTTTTTTAAAATTTTCAATGCCTTTTTCTAAAAAACTAAAAGGGGAAATCGCAAGGGGGGGAGAATCAGGGCTTAAATACGGTAAATAATTCAATCTCGTGCTTTTTATGTTTTGAAGTCTGATAGAAAACAAGAAGTTTAAATAAATTAATATAAAATTAGCTGGTTAATATAAATAAAATATTATACGAATCTTTGGTTTAAATGAAATTATGAAGTGCTGAGAATTTGAAGAAGATCTTTGAAGGATCTGCTGAGAAGGATTAAAATTTATAAAGAAAATTAATGATTAGACTTGTAATAACTTTCAAAACAGAGAGAAACAAACTTGTAGATTATTTCTCAAAACGTGATTAATGATACTCTAGAAATCAAGATATCTATATAAGAATCTAATAAGAGTCTGGAAGAAATATTTAATTTTTCTGTTTTATTATTATTGAATCGAATTGAATTGGTACAATAAATACGTCAAAACTGTCTATTCTTAAAACGCACAGAATAGCATTTACTTTTATCGTTTCATAATATACCGAAATCATATTGTCACGAAATAAAGAAAACAAAAGTGTTGTCTTTAAAGGAGATAACACTTAAGAAATTTGACATTTTATAGATTTTTGATTGAACAACAATAGGGAATTTAGCAATAAATTATACAATGCCTTTTCTTATAACCCAGTCAAGTCAAAGAAAATATTTTTAAGTATGGCATCCACAAATGAAGGAGGAGAACGAATTTGAAATTGAAGATTTATGACATCCAAAGCTTTAAAGATAAAAATAGGTATAATATGGCTAGTTAATTTAGTTATCATCTTTTACGTTATAGCTATCTGTTATGTATGCGTTATGTATGCAGATACTGAAAAACAATAAGGAGAAAATACCTTCTGAATGTTTCGTCGCATGAATGCATTTGTGGTATTTATCCTTTAGAAAAACCTCCATGAGAGCATTTCCTTACAGCTTTTACTTTGCTAAATTCCACTAAAACACGGGTTGCCCACCAAGCTTTGATATTGATCCCATGAGTTCGATGAAATTTTAAAAGGGTCAACGATTATCAAGGGGTCTATTGGAGGTCGACAGACGAATACGCAACTACAGTTGATTGGTATAATCAAGATCTCATTGGTTACAAAAAATGTATTAACAAAATTAATAGTTAATTGTTTATTAATATAAAGTTATATCATACAGTAAGGAAGAAATAATATAAAATAAAGTGAAAATAAAATATAATTATGATGCATAAAGAGTTGGTGTTGAATGATGATTTTCAAGTATAAGACTTACTTAAAACACATCGGTAGGCTAAATTTTGGAATTTTAAATTCATCCGAGAGAAATATCCCAATATAAAAATTGTAACCAAATCAACACTATTGACTTCCGTAGACAAAACGTTACTACAAGAAACAAGAAACAAGAAATAAAAGTTGAATATTTTTGAACGAGATAAGAATTACGTTAAATTAGTTTTATTCAAAATACTAAAACCAAAATGCATCAAGAGCAGCCATCACATTAATGAAAATCAGACTTGTGCAATTAGAATCTACGATTTTGTTTCTGAAAACTAGTTTATATTTATAAAATTAAAATATAATGATACAAAAAATAATAAAATATAAATATAATATACCCTTTTTTTAAACATTTGTTCCTGTTAATTGTTATAAGCTAGCTATTTGAAATTAATTGTATTACGATTATGTTGTATTATGTATATTATAAAGGGAATTGTCAGGGAACCGATAACGAAAGACATTATTTGAAAAGGTTCAGTATAAGAAAAGGGTTGGGAACCTCTGGGCTAAACAAACAAACAAATATAACTATTTGGTAGCTTCGATTGGTTTCAATACTTCATCCAGAGATCAAGGAAGAAGATAGCTTACCACACAAACACTGAATTTATTCTGGCATAAGAAAGATTAAAATGCTATACACAATTTTATATAGAGTGTCACCAGGAAGTCATTCCCTAGCCTTTATTTTCGCAACCGTTTGTCGTAGACATATACTTCAAATTATAAAAATGTTTTAATGGACGCAAGTACTTATGTTTTGGCATTTTTAAATTTAAGAAAATCTATTTTTAAAAATTATGAAATCTAATTTTCGTTATAAAAAATAAAACATAAAAAGTTTGACTTCTGCATTAAAAAAAATTGAATGAGACATTTAATTTCAAAATTTGTGAATTTTGACATAATATTTAGTTTGCATTATGGGGTCGATTAATAAACAATTCAGAATAAGTCGAGGTTTACTTTTTTCACTTAAATACTCTTCAGTGATATTCATTTGTGATTTGCTAATGTCTTTATTTGTAATTTTGTTAAAATATGATACGTCGAAAAAGTTTTCACGCGTGTATTTTCAAAGTCTAAAAATAAGTTTTTAATATCCTTTTGAAGTTTTATCACTTTAGAATTATAATCTGGTTACCATAAAGAATTCACCAAAAATAATTCATGTTTCACATAATAAATTGAAAAACATGTCCTTTATTAATTATAATGCCAATACAAGTGATAATATTTACGGATACTTTACAGTGGCATATTCTTTTAAAGTAAAAAATGTATTTAGTAGTATAAAAAACTTCATGATTCAACTTCATTTGATAAATAAATGCATATGTTAAATAATAAATGCTTAACATAATAAATGCTTTTGAGATAAAATGCATTGCATAATTTGAAGTATGCGTTTTATTTGCATGATTTGTATGTATATAAATAAAACGCGCATTCGGCATAAATCTTTTTGATGCCGTGCCCACCAGCGGCCGAGCGGTAAAGTCGCTGAACACTGGTAGTTTGGTCCGAGGTTCGAATCCCGCGAACGGGCTGGCTGCATGGGCGTTTTCGTGGTTTTCCCCATGTGTAACGTGTATACGAACCAGTTTCCCTTAGAAAGTCCTCCACGAAGGCATCCCTCCTCTTAGGCAGATAGCCCTCGAGGCTTTGCCATAATCACACACACACACTTTTTGATGCCGTAATAAAACAATAATATTTTTCGCAATATAACATGTTTAGAGATTTCTTTTTAGAATATTACATTATCTTTTTTTTTCATCAAAATTGAGTAACTTCTTTATTAAAAATTTTTGCTAAGTAAATCCGAATACTCTAAATTTAACTCTGAGAGCAGAATTTTAATATAAGCAACGTTTTAGACCATTCCTGATCCTTGTTGCATTCCATGATAAAAATATCATGGATACATGGTGTTACTTGAAGATAACGCATAACAATTTAGAGAACGGACTTTCTTGCAATACGATGGTACATGGCTAGTTTTTTAAAATCCTTTCCTCATTAGTAAAATTCCATTTCTAAGAATGGTTTCCGAACTCTTAGGCTTGGATTTACTTAATACTTATTTTAATAAGAAAAAGTGTGCAGTTTTTGACTGGGAAAAAAAAGGGAGTGCTGTACGAAATCTACTGATATTATTCTTAAATGTGGCTTTATAGGAGCTAATACAGAACTTTATAAAGAGAGATCAGACTAGAAAAAAAGAAATTTGCCGTTGGGCAGCTGTTGAGATGCAAAGATTTTCAAAAGCCGTTTGATGTATTAGGATAAGAAAAATAACAAATATGAAGTATTAACGATTCATTCTCTTCTTTTTTCAATATGTAAGCATGCCGCTAGATGAGTTTATGACAACTTTTACGACTTTGGAGGTAGTGCACTTGGATGGCGATACAAGTAAAGCAGAGAGTAGCCTAAAAAACCGAGATCCATGGCACGTGAAACTTTGGCATGGTCACTGGCAGAAAGGTGTCAACGCCGGTGGATGCAGGAATCATTCCGGTAATACTAAATATCTTTCCTATTCGTTTTCATTTTACTCAGTGAACTAGTAGAGGGTGTTTAATGTATTAAAGTCTAATGATAATATTCGCTATAATAGAACCAATAATGAATGTTTCAGAACAAATATGAGATGGAATTATTCATTACTGCTAGTGCTTATAAAGCATTTATACCAGAATTTCTTTTTTTCCTTGGAATAAATATTAAAAAAAAAAAAAAAAAGAATTCTGATGTGTATACCACATGATCTCCTTGTACGGAATATTAAATTATACTCATTTTCAAACTTATTTCCTCGAATTTTATTAGAGATATATTTTTCATTCAATTAATTCAGTTCTCACTTCGCAAGACAAAAATACATCAAACCTCAAAATACCTTTATTAAAAATTGAAGAATATAGAAAAATATGAAACAGCAAATACAGTTAAAGCAATTAAAAAAACTATTTTTACAAGCAAAATTTAGAGTTTTCACGCAAAAACAAGCAAGTCCGCCAGCGGGCAAGAAGGCAGATTTTTCGGTGCAAAACTAAAAGTTTACTTTTGGTCCCACTCGGCAAAAAGACACTACAGGTGCGTAAACTGACTTAATTTACTATTCTGCTAAATGTAAATTCTGCTAAATGTAAACATGTTTCAAATGTAAACAAATATGGCTACTATGGTAAAAAAGTAGCTTAGTCGCAGTAAACAACTTTAAAATTGTTGAAATGAGAGGCGCTCAACTAGATTTTAAAGCAGTCCCAACTAGATTTAAAGCAGTTTTGAGAGTAAAGAAACTGAGATTTCTGAGCCCGGTAACAGAGTGGATATATATATAAATATATTTATATACGTTTGGTTCGGCCGATTGCAACCAAAATACGAGGTGCACATCTAGATGTTATAGCAGTCCTATATACAAAATTTCAACCTTCTGTAGCTAATCGTTTTTGAATTATACATACGTGAATTTTTGAACATACATACGTGCGCACAGATGTTGTAAAAAATCCATTCTGAATCAATTTTAAATCCATTTTACAATCTGTCCTTTATTTTGTGAGTCCTTTATTCTGTCCTTACATAGAGATGTCACGCAAAAACATCGTTAAATTGCATTCGATAGCGGTCAAAATGAATATTTTCGTTGAAATATAACACCCGCAAATTTTCGCGATTACATTCCTTCCTTTATTTTGAACAAGGAAGTAAAACGATAAGAAATAGTACATACAAACATGTAATAACACAGCAGCATGTGCAACATAGCACAGCGTATTTATCGAATATAAAACTGATTGTTGTTGAGCAGATATTACATAATGCCCGGAGAGAGGTCCGGGGGCTCGTTGTTCAGGGCCTTCCATGTTTTTAAGCTGAGACCTTGTTCGTGGCAACATCTGTTGACCTGAAATGAAGTGTGGTGAGAGAATTCCACGGCCTTCGGAATAAAGTTTTCGGTCGAGGGTAGAACCTCAGTCTATGTGAGAAGAATAATATGCTTTGCCACCGTCACGTGGACGCCGACATACTCACCCCTAGCTTCTGTAATACTCTGTTAGGAAGTACGGCTTCTAATGTGATTTGTTTGAGTCCATTGCGTTGACGTACTTCATCATTACGTTGGTGAATTGTTATTCTGCTTTGTTTCGTTCATTGGACGTGGCTACCGAGGCAGTTGAATACTTGTGGAGCGAGGCGTCGTGAATGGCATGAGTGACGTAGTTCATTCGTGTCCTCAGGTAGACGGGTGGAAGAAGCGCGTGTTCTTGTCAGGTCCGAAGGGCATTGCGGAGACCGCTCGCTCTGTCAGTGCTTTCGGAAAACTTGGATTAGGTAACTTGTGGCGACATCTATGGACTTGAAAGTGAAGTACGATGCGAGAGTCCCGCAGCCTTGGGTCCAGGTTTTTCCGGTGAAGGCAGAACATATGTCTATGTCATGGGAGTAAAATACTTTACCGTCGTTCACAAGACATGATAGTTAGAAAAGACATGAGAGTTGGCAAGACATCAGAAGACATGATAGTTTGCTTAGCACAACACATACTAGTTCTTGAGTTATTGGTTTCAGCGCTGCTCGGTAATTCAACTTCTTCAAATTTGCGAATATTGGGTTGCCCACTCAGGCGCTGAAATAGTATTGTACAAGCTTAGTTATGGTTGCAGATCTCTTTGACATTCTGTGGGATACCGGTACCAGCGATAGTGCAGGTAACTATTCTAGTGGTACCAACAGTGACAGTGAACAAGTGCTAAACACACAGACATATTCCTTTCATCCTTGAACGAGGCGTTCGTTGTAACGGGCGCCTGGACTGGAGTGTCCTATCCCGATCGATGATGTGTCACTTTTCAGTCGTTGTATCCGTATGATGCGTGATGGCATATCTTAATGAAAAGCAATTATTATAATCTTTTTCCATGCAATAGTCCTTGTTAAACAATAAACTATAGAGATGACACAAGCAATTGAAAAGCCATGGCCGGAGGGTCAAAACGTAGCATTGGGAGTGCTTGCAGGCACCGTTCGGCGATGAGAGATGTAACGTCCTTCACTGAAGACATCCGAGCTGCAACTGGGCGGGGAGAAAGCTGTACTAACTGAAGTTGAAGATGGTCAGGTGACACTGGAACGTCCAATGGCAGGTTGAGGAGGAGCTGTAATTATGATAGGTTGAGGGGTGTCACATGCAAGCAGTGATTTTTGTGAATTCAAAGTAGTATTAATTAGAAATTTTCAAGAATTTCTGAAATTACGTATTTTTTTATAAAGTATTATTTTTAAAAATATTTGCTTCTTCACATATATTGAATAGTAGGAATAGTTTTTCCATAGGGTTTCTGCGTTTCTTATCTGATCCATGTTGGATCTTAATAAACTGAACAATTTTGATAGACTGCTATTTCCAAAAATATTGTACAATTCTTTAATGTGGAAAAGAAGTCAGAAAAATTATTATTATTATGTTGGTTGCTGCTGTTCTGGTTTTTAACTGTTTGCATGTGCTTTGAAGTGGAGGGCCTGAGCATAACTTTTTCCTTTTATGATTATAGCTGAGGGAGCAATTGTGGTTTTATGGTTGGGGATCAACCTTGGTGTACTATTATTAATTCTGGGGTTATTTTTGGGGAATTTTTCGCAACCGCGATAAGATGCTGGATGATTTTTTAGGCAGTTTGTACAGAGTGGTTTTTCTATACGTCCTGAGGTCGGGCAATCAGTTGTTTTATGATTTTGTGCACATTTAACACACCTAGGCATGAAGAAGCAGTTATCGGATGAGTGATGAAATCTTTGACAGTTGTGGCACTGTGGGACGATGTTTTTGTTGATATATTTTTCTATTATGACCATAAAGAGTCCTAAATGAGTTTCATTGAAAATATTCTCAATATTGTCTGATTGATTTAATTGTGCCTGAAATAAGGGCATAGGCTGTTTTGTCTTCAATCTGGTTAGCTGTACTACTTTGAACACTGAATATCCTAAGTTTGTCAATTCATCTACTATTTCGGTTTTATCTGTTGTGATTGGTAGCCCTCTTATGACGTGGTTTACTGGCCTTTCTATGCCTAGGAGTAATTACATAATGTTCGATATTATGTGCTTTTAGGTCTAAAGTTAACTAACGATTGTCATCTGGTGTGCTTGGTAATAATTTCAGATACTCTCCACTCACATTGCCGTAGAAGGTTACTGACGAAAGTTTTGAAATTTTCTTGAGATATTCGTTGTATTTGGCGCCATCTTCCGGCTTAACGATAATAGGAGTTTGGTTATTATTATTCTCTGGATTATCAGTAACTGTATGAGCGTTATTAATTGTTTGAGATAGTAGATTATCATTTTGTAGTGATCCTGACGGGGGGGGATAGATTGCACCAGATAATGCACTAAAACTATTCTGAGTAGTAATTATATTAGAAGGTACTTTTTTCGGTAATTTAGCTGTTTTGGTTGGCTTCTTAAATCCAGTTCAGGTTCTTGTTCATTATCCGAATTTCCATCGTCATTTTGTTTTCGTTTGGTGTTAGTGTAGTGGGTGTGTATGTGTGGAGCTTGCATGTGAAAGATAAAGATTTAACTTACCCCTCAGCACGTCAGCTTCTGTTTCTTATCTTCGATTTTTTTCTTCATCAGTTCCGTGTGGTAGTCCCGATCCGTAACAGGGCGGTTAGCAGATGACAGCTTGAGTGTATATCTATGTTCCACGTTCATCGAAGTTTCCAAGCTCAGAAATTCCTGATTCTATGTCTGAGTAGCAGTAGTTCTGCGCCCGTAGGTGTAGGTTGATCATGATCCATATTCGTACCCGGCGTATTCGAGTTGTCCGAGATTGAATCTGGGACCATATCCTTATCAGGTGGAACAGCATCGCTTAAAAGAGTCTGTTTAGTACGAGCCATGACAAAAGTAACGCTTTCGTTAAAACGAGAAAATGTTCCTTTTGACCTTCAATAAAAATTCTGTCAGTGTGTGATAAGTACTGTTTACATTTTAGCTGCTTTCACACCTCCAAATGGAAAACATATATCAGACGCCAGGCAGGATATCTCAGTCTTATCGTCGAAAATATATATTTTTTAAAACTTAAGGATGCGACTTATGCACAAGAGGATAAAGTATGTTATTTTAATGCATTGCAACGTTTATTACACTCATTTCCATAATTTAAGGATAATGCAAAATCAGGCAAAGGAAGAGTTAGAAGCAAAACAAATTTGACTTATTTGTAAAGCTTATTTATTAAACAAAAGGTAAAGAGCAAAAAAAAGATGCTATATGTTTGATATTATTAAAAAAATTAGCGATTTTTTCTCCCTGGAGGAAATTACAAAAAAAAAAAAAAACCTATTTACAAAAAACCAATATTACATGGTTCGGTATGATTGTTAATACATTGTATGTCTCCCAGACGATGCAATACAGTCCGTACAACGCCTAGGCATGCTGAGTATCAAATTATCGATCTGATCTTGGGGGTATATTACACCACTCAAAAAGCAATGCTCTCCGAAGTTCCGGTAGACATGTAGGAGGAGGTTGACGGGCTACAAATCGTCGGCAAAGCATGTTCCACACGTGCTCTACTGGATTCAAGTCCGGTGAGAATGCTGGCCAGTCTATACGGGTGATATCCTCCGATTGAAGGCATTCACTTACGATGTTTGCACGGTGAGGACGGGCGTTGTCATCCATAAACAGAAATTGTGCGCCCATGGCACCCCGAAACAAACGTACATGTTGTTCCAGAATGACGTCCCGATAGATTTGGCTTCTCATGGTTCCAATTTGAACATGCAGGTCAGCTCTGGAACCCAGAATAATTCCACCCCAAACGAGCACTCCTGCACCACCGTAACGGTGTCGTTCAATGATGTTTTCTTGGTGGTAACTGGTACCTTGAGCTCTCCATATGAAAGTCCGGCGAGAATCAGACTGCAAGCTAAACCTGGACTCGTTGGAAAACATCACACAAGCCCACTGTTGCGGTGCCCACAATGCATGCTCTCTACTCCAGGCTAACCAAAAGCGACAGTGAGTTGCAGTAAGTGGAACGCATCTGACAGGTCTACGAGCATATAGACCAATCTGCCCTAAGCGTCTGTACACGGTCTGCCTTGAAATTGTCGTACCAGTGGTTGAAGAGAGCTGACGAGACAGGTATGAGGCTGTGCTCCGCCTGATTCTTTTGGCAGTAACTGCCAAATACCGGTCCTCATTCGGCGTTGTAACTCTGGGGCGAGCTGTGCTGTAACGTCTACTCACATTACCATCATTTTGGAATCGTTGCCAAAGCCTGGAGATGACACTCTGGGCAATTCCAAGTTCGTCTCATACTTTCAGTTGGGTACGCCCACATTCCAGACGGCCGATAATTCTGCCACGTAAAAAATCATCCAAATGCTTCCTTTGTGTCATAACTATTCGGTTATTTCACTGAAATGCTTATAAAGCGCCTGCGAACTTCTTTGCCTGTATTCCTTATATATCACTCTCTTACACTCTCGTCATTGTGACGTACTATCGGTGTCATCTGGTTACTTCCTGAGATTTGCATATGATTCTTGAAGATGTGTGTAGTGATTTTACATGTGATGTATTTATTTTAGAGTTCGATTTCCGCGTGACTCCGAATTATCCTTAATTTATGGACATGAGAGTATTTACCGTATTCAAATTAATATAAATGTGGAAAGTGTGAAAATCTGGTAAAGTATCAAATGTGGTAAATGGGAAAAGCCATATTAATGATGTGTATACTGTTATTATAAAACTATAAAATGTCATTAATAATAAACTGCCATTGATAGTTAATTATGCATAAGCACCTTCTGAATATTTAATAAATGTATGCTCTTAAAGTATGAAGAAAATAATCTCTTTGTAAATAAGATAAAAAGTAATTTTAACATCATTTTATATTTTAATGAAATTTAGTTTTATGAAACTAATGAGTGTTATGAAATTTTATGAAATAGCATAATTAATTTTGGATGTCTGTGTATATATATATACGAAAGTAATTATTTCGACTGCAAAAATTAATTAATTTTATTCTAGACACCTTTCATGTCAATCCACAAATGCAGATAGTTGTAGGGGAATCACAAGACATGATAGTTTGCTTAGCACAACATATAGTTCTTGAACCTCGAGTTATTGGTTTCAGCATTTATCAGGTAATATACACTCCATAGAGCTAACTGTTTTGAAAAAGTATATGGTAACGCACAACAAGTGGTAATTAAATTATTTTTACAAATTACTGATTATGTGGTAATAAAAACATTTTAACTTTTTAGATGTCCAAACCTACATCAGAAGTATTGGGAAAATCCTTCTTCAAAATCAACAAATCGATTTTGAATTCTCCGTACAGTAATAGTCGACAAGTAAGTGAATGATAAACAGCGACTGTCTTAATTTAAAAAAAGTAAAATTCAGAATAAATGTAAATAACCAGATTTTCAAACATGTTGCAAGAAAAATTTAATTCAGTATATTTAAAAGAACATTCAGAGTGAGATGTCATTCTCATCAAGTTTTCTCTTCTTGATTTATTTTCTTCTAAACTCTAAATTCGATAAAATCAGGCACATTGGATTAACAAATCATTCTTGCAGATTGCTTAGGGTGTTTTCTGTCTTCTTTTGATATTTTCTTAGCTCATTTAAAAATAATTTTAAAATCGACAATTCCCCACTCCAACTTGCCTTCAGCTAAGAAGTCTATTACGCCAAACATGTACTCTACGCAAGCAACTCAATTTTTCATTCGCGGGCTTCACGTTCTTTCATACATGCTTACTTAGAACAATGCGAGTTAGAAAAATGACTACATGTTTGAATTAAATGTAATGTGTTACTATATATCGTAAATGACATGTTAAACTTGAAACTTTGTTTCTTCATTTTAAACAAAAATTATGTTCTCATGCTTACATCATTAGTCAAGACAGCAATAAGCTACAATTATGGACACTTGCAAACTAGAATGATCTACGATGTTGTGTGTGTGGTTATGGCAAAGCCTCGCGGGCTCTCTGCCTAAGGGGAGGGGTGCCTTCGTGGAGGACTTTCTAAGGGTGTGTTGAGTTATGGCAAAGTACACGAGGGCTATCTAACAACAACACGCCTGTAATCCAATCTAATAATAACAATAACAATAATCATATGCAGATTCTCTCTCCACATACTATACCTCCATCAAGCAGGAACATAGGTACACTAAGCACAAGTATCATCAAATGCCTGCAAATCAATCTTCAAAGGGCTGAGGCAGCAACATCTCATGTCCTCACGCAAGTTATTTCCAACGACATAGACCTCGTAATCATGCAGGAACCATACTGTAGAGAAGGTCACGTCGCTAGCTTACCTATTGCATGGAAAATATACCAAAAGGAGTCCCCGACGGCAGATCTTGCTCCTAGAGTAGCAATTGCCTGCTGCAACCCCGCATGGACACCACAAGTCATCAAGCTGCATAGGGATTATGTCGCCATTCTAATCATTTTTGAAAATATGCAATTTATCCTTACTTCGGTGTATTCACCACCAACAGATGCAATTGGCAGCACTGTCGCCCACATAAGCGAAACAAGTAGAAAATTTCCAAACACAGCTCAAGTCATAGGAGGCGACTTTAATGCCCATCATATTATATGGGGGTATAGTACCACAAATCCAAAAGGGCAGGAGCTTGAAGATTATATTGCGGCAAACAATTTACAATTGCACAATACAACGAATGCACCACCTACATTCGATAATTCGTACAATCAAGGATGGCCAGACTTAACGATCTCAACTTATGATATTGCTAACAACATACATTCATGGCATGTCTCAGACTCTGAAAGTTGTTCAGATCATAAATACGTAGAATTTACTATACATACAAACAGATACCACCATTTCTATAATTAAACGCTATAGGCTGCCAGGTAGGTAACAAGGTTAGACAATTGACCCAGGCCTTTACTCGTCTCCTGCAAGCAAAAGAATTGCAGCTAGAATCTTGCAACAACTCAGAACACCTTGATTCCCTTGCACAAGGACTTCTAGAGGAACTTAATGAAATATGTCAACAAATTTTACCCCTCCGTACAACCAAGAAATTACAAGGAATCTCTCTGGTGGTGGACCGGCGAACTAAGGCAACAAAGACAAAAATGCAGAGCTTTGCGCCGCAGACTAAGAGGAAGAGGCAACGTGGACGGAGAGACCAAAGCACAGATTCTGACTACATACCGGCAAGAGCGGGCTAAATATAAGAAGAATATTCTCGCTGCAAAAGTGACAAGCTGGCGTACCTTCTGTAACAACAATACGAATCCCTACGGGATCTTACATAAGATTGCAACACAGAAGGTATTCAAACCAGCACAAATTCATGCACAGGTTCCAACAGCTAGTCTTTCAACAAACCCAGCGGGGTTTACAGCTGCCACCCTTCTTGACGAAATTTTTGCAAAGGACAATCCGCATGAAGATACACTGGAACAACGTGCAGTGCGAAACAATACAACTATCCCAGATACGCCAGATGATTATGCTTTCTCAGCAAAAGAATGTTTTGCATTCTCAGCAAAAGAATGCTCATGTATTTCGCTACCTACCCCTGAAAAAAGCCCCAGGACCGGATGGCCTGGACTATTCAATAATTAAAGTTGCATATAAAGCCAATCCAGATTTCTTCACTAAATTCTTCAATAAATTACTTCAGGCAAAGCTCTTCCCAACCGTATTTAAGAAGGGACAGGTAGTCTTGTTCTTGAAAAAATTCAAAAATCCAGCTGAACCGCGGGTCTTACAGGCCAATCTGCTTGTTGTCTGCACTGGGCAAAGTGTATGAAAAGCTGATTGTCAATCGACTTCGTCATCATCTGCACAAGACCAAATATCTAAGTGTCAGACAATTCGGTTTCCGCATAGGATCTTCCACCGTTCAAGCCCTTTCAACAATCAAGGATTGCATCCAGAAGAATAGAAATGATAATATGCATACGGCTTTCATTTCGATTGACCTGGCCAGCGCATTTGATACTCTGTGGTGGCCAGCAATCAAACAAGCTTTACGCAATGCAAAATGCCCGACCAACCTTTATCTAACAATCACAAGCTACTTACAAGATCGTATATGTTAATAATGTCCCACGATGCAGGTGTTTCATCCAAAGCCCAAGTGAGAGGTTGCCCGCAAGGCTCTTGCGCGGGGCCCCTCCTATGGAACATCACATTTAACGAAGTGCTCGCTGCAGACTGGCCCGCACACACGCGAGTTGTCGCCTACGCAGATGATGCTGCTGCACTCCTGGTGCGAGGAGGACGCACAACCTGCACACGCAACGAAATGAGAAAGGAAAAAAAAAAAAAAACGGTCAAAGATACAAGTCGTGTTAATCTCACAGTTGCAGAGAGAAAATCGCATTATATGCAGCCCCAATCTGGGCAAACCCAATGGGAGCCAGGAAAATCCGTCAACTATCAGCCTTGCAAAGACCTTTTGCGATAAACCTATGCAAAGCATATCGAACTACAGCCACAAATGCAGCACAGGTACTAGCTGGTATCATACCACTGCATATCAAAGCCTTAATGGAATCTGCATATGCCCAACTGATCCACTTGCGCCGAGATGCGACATTTGGAAACACTACCTATAGCCCAGTCCAATATGAGCATCGGGGCGACGTATTGCGTACACATCCCTCAATAAAAGGGACAGGCATACGCACAGTTAAATCCAACTGCCTTCATCGAGACACCCTCACGAAGATATACACGGATGGCTCGAAGCATGAACATGGAGTAGGTAGTGCCTTTATACACTATGATGGTTCCAACACCGACTACACATGGAAAGGACATCTGAAACCGGAAAACAGCGTCTTTCAGGCGGAAGTTACTGCTCTCACAGCAGCGGTACAGCATATTCTCAACAATATACAGGCAGCTACCATATACACGGACAGCCTTTCAGCAATAAATGCAATAGAAAATCAACACCATGTATCGCCGAGCATCATTAACTTGCAAGACATCCTGCAGCATAATCGTCACACTAAAATTACCATGGTCTGGGTCAAAGCCCACGATGGCAACCAGGGAAATGAAGCAGCTGACCGTTTGGCTAAGGATGCTGCAAGCAATCTCGAAGCACAAGAAATAAATATTCCTGCCCCACCATCCTATCTAAAGCGTCATTTGCAGGGACAAGCAATACGACAATGGCAAGAAGAATGGACTAATGCGGAAACAGGGAGGGCACCTAGGCGCACCTATGAGCGTATTTCAAAGGTATCAACTGACCGCCTTATCGCCATTGCTCCTTTGGTAAACTACATAACAGGTCACGGGCCGTTCCCGTCTTATTTTCATCGACATGGGATATCAAATACAGACATCTGTGTCTGTGGAGAAGACGGAACGCCAGACCACTACCTATTCAGGTGCCCTCTGACAGATACCATGCATCTTTTCATGCCCACGAGCAACATAACTGCCTACCTACCACCGACTGATAATTAAGCACAAGGGAAGCATTAATGCAATATGTAAAATTATAAAATTTATCGCGGCACTAGGTCAGGATATCTGCCAGCCCATTTAATCAACATAAGGTTTTCCACTGCATTTATCCAGGAAACTACAATTTACACACGCATACCTTATATCTTATACCTAAACAGAACTTAAACTGGTTTGAGTTTGAACTCTTGCACAATAGCAAATATTTAATGAACTTTAACGCTGTCATGTGTCCTTATTAGTTCTATACAAGCACAGTATTATGTCAGTATTATAACGACTCTGTAGCATGCCTTCCTATAAGCATCATATCAGCTCTCTGTATCATACGTTTCTATTAGCACTTATTACTCATATACTATCATATGTATCTTTGTCTACCTTAATATTTATTTGCACAATGTGTTTTATTCGTATTATATCTGCTTTGCTATTAGTATCATATCAGCTCTGCACCATGTATATTTATTGGCATCATATTTACTTTGTACCAAGTGTATTTACTCTTTCTTCACCTGTACTGCATCTACTCAGCACCATGTCATTTAATTAGCTCTATATTTGTTCTGCATCATGTATATACATTAATACCATATTTGCACTGGCCATGTAACTTTTTCATTAAGATTCAAATATACTCCCGAGGCAGCCTGATGAGGCTCCAGGGAGTTGTTGCCACTAGATAGTGGAGGACGCGGGGCATATGCCTGTTTACCTATGTTAAACATCAGGCGTCCTCGTCCTCCGTCACCTGTCACCTGCCTAAGGGGAGGGATGCCTTCATGGAGGACTTTCTAAGGGAGGACGTATACATGTTACACATGGGGAAAACCACGAAAACGCCCATGCAGCCAGCCCGT